ACACCAATTGGTGATCAGACCACTTTGAAATTCCGCCCTGCTAATACCAGCATCGCATTCTTGGTGTGTCTGCTCCGAAGTATGCTTTAATTACCGCAACCTGAAGCAACTGTGGTAACGTACAGTTGAAAATTCTGCTCATTTAAAAAAATCTCTGTACCCCGCCCGCAGTGCCATCTGAACAACTGAGTTCTAAGGGCTTTAATGATCAAACTAGTTTCTCGATGATACGATATTACCCCGTGGGAGTGCCGGCATCTCTCTCAATGTGAATGAGCAAGTATTCATTCCGGGTGGAGGGGGTTACAATCGGTTTATCTGTTTCGCGGATGATTTTCTGACTTTCACGTCGTTGTCCGCATTCGGCAATCACATACGAACTGTGTACCGAAGAGATCTGGGTGGCGATTTCGGCACAATAAAGTGATCGCACGGACGAACGTGTGTTGATCGTCAGTCATCCGGTTTCATGCGTACTTACGTGACCCTGATCACTTCTTTTCATGATCCTAGACTGTAAAAATGTTTCCCCGCTGATCACTTTGTAGCCGACGGGGGTAGGGCAAATAGAAATTTTGAACTACAGCCTTGAGCTTTGACACTTCCTGTGCGAAAGTTCAGTCCCTGTCAACCAAATGGATCAAAGTTGAATCAGCATAACTGTACGGAGATTAAGAACTAGCGAAGAGTGAAACTCTAACCCATTATTAGGATAAACTGACTCAAAATACAAAAGTCCAATAACCGATTCTCGGTCGTTCACTTGTATATTGTTAGTGCACGATAACCGTACCGCGTTCCTCGCTTCTCCTGTGTCACAATATTTCCCCCCTCAATTCGCAATTGATTTGAAATTGAAAATAATAATAATAATAGTCCATATCCTTCTACTTTGAATGTGCACTCCTGCTCCCCCGGATTGTGTGCAGCTTATGCAACGCAAATGCGACCAACTGGAAGCTCGTCGTGCAGCCGAGAAAGCTATGGCTGCTCAGCATTTGGAGGCACTGCGTTCCAGTGGTCGAGGGGAGAAGCACTCGCTTGCACTGGCCGAACTGGAGCGAAAGAACAATGAGAAAGAACGCCGTGAGGCCATTCTACAAGCCTATTTGAGCAGAAAAGAAGTGAGTGAATACAGGCAATACTCACGATCCCCATATGTTCCTTGCCGCCCCCCCCCCTTCGCTCATCATGATTAACTCAAATCTCTCTAGATGAATAGTCTAGTCAACCGGACTTCCCAACACCTACACACATGCTCTAGATCAGCTATCATAGACTGCAGCGAGTTAGATACGTTCCAATCTAAGCAACAATCAGTTTGTGCACCATGGCAAACAGTGGTTTATCACACGCACACACAATTCACGTGACCATAGAAGACCAAGTAGAGTCTTTTAACTGGAACTCTGAAGTGTTTTTTTTCTTCTATCGATTTCTGGCACTCCTACGCTTTGATCCAGTGATGGTTTATACTTTTTCGGGACTCCGAATACTCTTACACTGTGTTGTTAGTATTTCCGGATTGTGATCAGCTTTTTTTCCTGGTACGCGTTTGTTCGTCAACGACAGGTCACGTCACGTATGAAATGTTCTCATCATGAACGAACAGCTCTACATCCGCTAAACGGAGCAACCTCATTGCGCATGTGGATTTTCTTTACCATTTTCCAAACGGCGTCTGGTTTGAAAACTTCATCCAAATTGTTTATCAAAATCAGCTAGGGACAAAAATCTTCTTTCTTGGGTATTTCGACTATGTATATATCGAGATTGTCAAAAGCTCAGTAGCCTCGGTGGGATTCGAACCCCCACGCGTGGACGCCGCATACGCTTTGTACGCGCATGCCCTACCAGCTGATAAGCCACGAGGCCCCACCGACAGAGTACTGACCTTTTCACATTCGAATGTACCCATATTTCGACTAGATCAGGCAATCAGTTTGTGGCAAACAAGCTCGTTTTGGGTGCATCATTTGCCAGCCAAATACACAGAACGCCTTGATTGGCCACAAAATCACGTAATTCAAGGAAACAGAAACAAAACATAGATGCTGTCTGTGGTTGTACGCGTTTGCATGGATACTATGGATAATACAGCGAGGGGTGTATGAGAGTTCAACACATTCTGTAAATGTCATTTGTACTCTCAAATGAGTCAAATACATAAACAATCTGACACTCACTTGATAACCGGCTTTATGTCACTTTAGCGTTTATGGCTGACCATAGTAAATCCAGAGCTGTGACTGACTGTTTTTGAACGCGTCACTCAGGCCCATCTACACGATCATCGGGGTGAGATTGAAGCAGGTCAAGCATCGCTTACAACAACCGAAGCGATCACGATTCGGTTGAAGACCCCATCCCGCCTTGTGTCCTTGAGTTGTATGATTTTGTGACCTATAAAGGAGTGCTATATTTGGCTTGTAAATGATGCACCGAAAAGGAGATTATTTGCCAATTTGACTACTTCATGCAGTCCACGTTTTTTTTCAGTATTTTGACTACGCATTTGATCCCAGAACAGTTTCCTGATCATAGAAGCGCGTCCACGGTCACTTATCCGGTGGTTAGGTATCAATACTGAGATCGTCACGTAGGCTGTTCTATCACATGCATCCATCACACGTAGCATTATACTACTTACAAAATCCTATTGTATTGACCTCTAGAGGAAATAAATGGTTGAAAATGATCTGTGATCTGTTTTTTTTTAATGTTTGCCTTAATCCTTATGTTTACTAGTGATAGCCAAGATACACTGCAACTGTGTCACTGGCTTCCTGGTTTGCTTTTTTTCTTGTCTTTCTCGTTCGCATTGTACTGGTTGATTACCGAAAGAACTTATTCAAGTTCTCCACTCTTGAGTTTATTGAACAAGCCATTGAAATATAATCCCCTAAGGATAACACTTATCTCACCTAGGTGTAAATTCTTCTTTGGTCTGCAAACCTTCCTTGCCGATCCACCTAGTTGTAATGTCCCGAGTTTTGTCTCTCCATTCACCCTGTGAAGCAAGCGGAAGCCCAATGTCATCGGCACCAGAATCTCTATCCAGTTCGACCAGGCTCGGCCGCGCTCTCCCTGTCCTCCAGTAACTTGTCCACCAAGGGCAAAAGATCTGTTTCACAGAACCGACCATCCAAAACTCTACCCCGTAGCTCTGAACTACGCTCGTCACGTGTTGGCTCACTTCGAGCTAGCTCGGCCACCCGAAAACCCCGATCAATGGAGACCTCGACAACTGCGACTCGGGGTAATGCGGATGGTGAGGCCGTAGAATCCAGTGAGGCAGACGCTGACGCACGACAAGAACGGCGGTTAGTTAGGGCCGCGGAAGCATCGCAAAAGCAAAAACAAAAACCAAATGGTAAACCCACCGGTCGAATGACTTCGGGCTTAAGTCTTTCGTGTGAGTCTCTTCTGCTACCTATCAACTAACTGATCCGAAAATTTTCNTTCCCTTCCCCCCCCCCCCGGTCGATTTATTTTCATAATTCCTTGTATCCTGACACATCTTTTTATTATGTTTTCTTGCAATCATAACTCTGCGTAATATTCCCTTGTGCTTGTACTTCTATGAGGCTTTTGAGATAACTGGCTTGTGAGAAATACAAGTCTTGGTGAGATTTGAATTTATTTTCTTAGTTGTAGTTTAGGCTTATTGACAGTGTGTGATCTACCGTATTAGGTATGGTGTCTTGCATGCCCAAGGGAATTCGTCGTGTAAAGAGCAAATGAAGCATAAAAAGCTAGGACGCTCTACACNTACACAGCTGTTTCGCCTTGTTTGGGTCTCATCAGCAGCAGTGCGAATCCTTCGACCCAAATGGCGGTCGAACTCAAGACCTCACAGGTAGAATGCAAGCATGCTACCCATTCGGCCACCTTAGGGCAGCTGATCAGATTAGTTCTCATTTGCGCAACCGGGTCGCAACAGCTGTAAAATGCTTCCTAGCTTTTCAGTTCAGGCTGTATTTGGTCTCGACATGACGAATTCCCTCCATGAAATTGAATCAAATCCTTCGATACTCTCATGCATACGTTATATATATATATGCATGCTTTCCTATCGGCGATTCGAATGAGATGGAGCAGCTTGTGGGAATTTTCTACTTGGTAACACGTTACGCTTCTTATACATATTGAGACCACCAAATTGTGCTGTCTTTGTGTCGGCTTACGCCGAGTTCACGTCTCGTTACAAATCCTGTTCCGTGACTCTCGCCTAAGACGTGTCGCGTCTCAACCAGCCGAATGCAGAGCTTTTGTTGGTGAGTGACCAATGCAGATTGATGTATCAGCTGGGGTTTAATTTAATTTTACTCGTTCGGAAACACGAATAGACAGCTAATCACAGTCTCACAGTTTTTGTACAAGGTGTTTCGCACGCCGACCGAAGCACATGAATATTCTAAATCAAAACGATGGCTGGTCGCATTATTGGAGAGTGCTCGAATATCACTGACAATTTTGCATGAAACTCAGACCATTTGTGACTAGTAGCGAGATGTCCATCGCTGACTCGAGGAGGGCTGATGCCAAATTGCTGTTTTTATTGGGCAAACTTTGGGTCCTCATTAAATGTCATAGACCATAGTAAAATTTGCGAAACAATGTTATTCATAAACTGTGAACGCTAGGGCTAGGCGAATCGTTCATTTTTCATAATTCGGTCAATTTTGACTTCCCTATTAGCATTGCATCGTCTGGGTGCCTCCGACCAACCATCCAGCGGACCAGGGGTTTCTGTCGCAGGCCTTTCACAGCCGAAACTGTTTGTTAAACCGAAGGCCAAATCCAATCGAATGGTCATTGTTAATGCCATCGGACATTGTTGTTTGGCCGGCGCGGTGAACGAACCGATGAAACAAGCAACACTCAAGGTGAGCTAATTCCATCGTGCCGAATCACCTTAAATATGCTGTATGCGTTTAACTACTTTTCTTTTGCTAGTAGCACAATTTGAAAATTCTAAATAGGCACAAAATAGCTACAGGTTCGATATTCGAATGGTTATTTATACGTGAGTTTTAGGTACAGTCAATCTCCTACTATGTCGCACCCCTCGGGAATTCGAAAAAGTGGGTAAATATCAGGAACTGCGACATATCAGGGTCACCAGTAGTAGGTGCTAATAAGTAGTATAAAAATCGGTTGACAGTTTTGTAACAAAATAAACCGGATCGATGAAAAGTAGGTTAATCCTGTTAGTTGTTCACAATAGTTACCATTATAAACTCTTTATTTATAGCGGAATTTAGATCTACCGTCCTGCGTAGCTGGTATATATCGCAGAAATTTGAATACAGTCAATCTCCTGCTATGTCGCACCCCTGAGAAGTCGCATTTTCCAATATCTTCCCACTTTTTCGAAAACCCAAACCAATCGTAGGCTAATAACGTACTTTCTGACTATGCAATGTCGCACCCCCCAATATGTCGCAGTTCCTGATACGTACTCACTTGGTCGTTGACCGATGTTCGGGAC